CTGGAATCATCTAACATTTCACTCATTGTTTAACTTGAAGCTTTATTTTAGCAGTGTCCCTTTTTGCATAAGCGAATACAAATAGATTTTTAAAAGCCACAACGCATTTTCTTGCCTCCGTCATCTATTTAGGCAGTTTCTTGCACACCAGAGACCGTTCCATTAGCGCAGCTGGCGACATTCTCGGCTGCCGGAGCTGTCCTTGTCTCTTATCTACAATCACGTCTGTTGGTCGACGCATGTCTTAATGCTGATCTCACACGTCTGCGCCGGCAATATCCGATCGATTGGGACCCAGCTAAACGTCATTTGCATTTGCTCACCGGTCGAGCGAATATTCTGGCTACCCTATCCGTTAGCACTTCTGGTGCATTCCGGTTGGTTGGATTGCAGCACAAAGCGACGGATGATGTGATCGATCCAGAGGACGTCGCCGACGCTTTTCATTATAGGTTGGAAGATTTCACCGCCCCGTTATCTCGGTCATTGGATGAATGGATTTTGGAAGTGAACGATTTTTGCACCGGAATCACAGAAACCGGATGACAGTTCGTTCACTTGGAGGACAGAAGAGAATCATTTTTAAGAAACATTGTTGTTTCCTGTATATACTATATGTTTGCTTACTCGTTTTCTTTCAGGATTTTGGAAGGGTATGTGCAACACCTTCCTCTAATATTTTACTGAACCCCTCCATGGTTGATGGAAACAAAATTAAGTTTTTATTCCTTCTGGCGTGCCCCATTGTTCCAGGATGAACGAACGGTGTTCCACATTGAAAACAACCTCCCGATTGGGAATCGCCCTGTGTTGACTAAGGGCTAGCAAAAGTGTTCGGCGATGATGGCATTTGGGCCGATTGTGTTTAATAGTTGAGGCACTCGTAACAAATTTAAATCCGTTAATTACAACAGCGGCGTGAGTATAGTCGTTCGATTACGAAAAACTTACTGGCATTTTCATCATTAGAAGCTTAAATGTTTTCAGTCAACAGGAGAGCATTGGAGGTCGCTTCATATATATCACCGTCCTCCAGGTTTGACGAAAAATACATCTTTCTCCCAACCTCTCTCTAACATGATCTGTCCAGTGTTTGACCCATCACATCACTCGCTATTTCCCTAGGTGAGTATGACTGTAACCTTTTTGAAGTAAAATGACAGATACATGCTTTTTCGATTAAAATCACAGCAGTAGTCAGGATACTAAGTGTCCTCCAAAACTGCTATTTGTTCAATGTAAGATACTGTTATTCTTGACTATCATACGGCTCATTTTCGTCACACTTAACCAGAACATTATGTACTGACTATAAGCCAATTCAGTGGATCGGATTTGTCTTCGAAGTACTTTCTCCGCACATCAGGTGACCACGAAGCCCGTTCAGCAGACCAGCGTGGCGTAGGTATTGTACCCAATAATACAGTCGACGCTTGGCTAATCGACTTGATTCCAGTCAAAAGTCTTTTATGTGCGATGCGGTTCCTGGTGTCTTTCAGCGTCCGGAAGTGAAACAGCATCAAAAGGTGTTTGTTTATGGCTTCAGCCGACTAACTGCAGCTCCGATATAGTAGTTCTCGCAGGTGATTTCAAGGCACAGGCTGGAAAACAGCTCATCGGAGGCTTGCCTAGTCAGTCATTGTGCTCTACTCTACCGACGAACTGGTGACAGCGGTCGGTTTCTTCAGTTCTGCGCAGATCATCATCTGTTCCTATTCTGTACCAACACCAGACAAACCTCTCAACGGACAGCAATGTGCGTTTCCAACTCAATGGGTACGCCCGCTCAAATCGATCACATAGCAGTGTACTACCGTTGGTGTGGCTCAGTATAAAACTGAAGGTCCTATTAGACCACCTACGTCGAATCTGACCACGCATTCGTTTTGATACTATTCACTCCAACTCAGTAGTCGCAGAAAACCCTCACCAAATTCGATTGACAGAGCATTGTTTATATAACCCAGCCGTTCGTATCCGTTTTGAATCAGAACAAGGGCAACAGCTAAACGCGCTGCAGAATAGTTATACAGATGAACAATGGGGTCAGATTAGACGAACAATGTGCTCCGCATCGGGCGTCGCTTGTGGATCTGAAGCGGTAACTAGTCGGAGGCATTTGATATCTGATGCGTCAGCAGCATTACTGGAGAAGCGGTAAATCCCGACCGCCAGCGGTCAAAACAGATATAGGTGGCGTCTTCAACGTAAGCTTAAGAAAGACCGAGACAACTGGTGGACAACAATAGCTAGAGAAATCGAAGAAGCGGCCGCATCAGGGAATAGTCAAAGACTGTTCCAACTGATACGCAACAAGGGAGGTCGGCAAATCACAGTTAGTGCAACAACCTGCGACAAAAACGGACATGCTATTCACAGTAGGGAACAACAGCTCGACCGGTTGGTGGAGTAATTCAACGAATAGCTCAACTGGCCAGGCGCTAACCAGACTACATCCTTTGTTATATCTGAGGCTCTGTGGGCAATGTCATGGGAACCTACTGAAGCATTACGACCTTGCATTCATATCCTGGAGAAATGAATAGCAGCAGGACCGTATGGGTTTCCTCCCACCCTTTTTAAGATCAGGGCGTTGACGCGGTAGCCTCCATTACTGATTTATTACATAACATCCTGCCACAAGAGCGCATTCCGTCATCCTTGACAGAACCACAGATTGTTCCAATTTTTGAAGAAGTTTTTCGCAACGAATGCGCAATCCGTTGTGGAACACGCTCGATCGCAATCGTCACGAAGTTATTAGGCTCCATCATACTTCGACGTCTGACACCGCTTAGAAAACAAATATCCGGGAACAACAAGCAGGATTTCCACTAGGTCGGGGTTGTATCGATCGAATCTTCACTCCGAGTCATGTCCTCTAGCTACGCTGTACACACTATCGATCGATGGCTATCGTGTTCCTTGATATTAGAGCTTTCGAATTGGTTGACCGCGAATCCCTTATGGGTTCATTCCTTCGCAAACGAATGCCGCAGAAGTATGTGAACGTACTGAGGTCACTCCACTCGCATACTTCTGATAGCTTAAGGGTCTGCGGCGAGCTAAGTAGGTCGTTCGTAACTAGCAACGGTGTTCGTCAAAGGGTGTCCTATTTCGCCATTCCTGTTCAGTTTCCTCGTCGACGAAATATTGTAAAATGCATTGGGTGGTCTCCAAAATATTGGTAATGGATGGGCAGCTGCAGAAAATCTGTGTGATTTGGAGTACGCTGACATATTGTCTGTCTTTACCAATGTATGCAGGATGCACAAAACGCACTTGACAGGCTAGCGGGTTCTTTATCGCCGTTCGACTTGAGTTTTGCATCTTCAAAGTGCAAAGTGATGCTACAAGACCGGGTGTC